TGGACAAGGCTTTGGCAATGTCACACACACTGGGGTGGCTCTTTCCATACACTCGTCTGGTTTCGGTGATGCTTGCCGATTACACAGGGGTGGGGAATCTTTGCGAGAGCCCAACATTGATTGAAATGTGGACTGCGGTTGTAGCTGCGCTTCCCTCGTCCGTCGTTCGGTTTAGGGTAAAGCGGTTGCATATGCCGGAAGCCAGGGGGCAATGGATGGATACACGGTGGCGAAGCGTGTTCTTACCGGCCATCGAGAAAGCAGGGCGGGCAGCGGGGAAGCGAATGATGGTGGGAATTGAGGGTGAGGATGACTGAGTCATGAGACAAGAACGCCACCAGACGCTGTCATGAGCGTCCACGCGTTTCATGTCCAAACACGCATACGTAACCGCTATCCTTCTCAATTGAATGTACGGTTTACATATAGTTTGCTCAGCGCAGCCAGTTGAGGGATGCCGGTGGTCTTACGAACCTAACCTCTGCTTCAATCGCGGAAGAAGTCCCATTAATTCTCCACTGCGGGACGCAGTGAGGCGCTCCGGAGGAAGAAGCAAGGAAAGAATAATTGAAAGGAAACCTGTCCTGAACGATCTCCAAGTTGAGGCGAACATTGCTGCGAATGATGGACCCGATCTCTCCCCTCATCACTGTGTGCTCGCGCTCGTAGAAGACGATGGTATGCACAAAAGATTACGTCGCATGTACTTTCGGGGACATCGTTGTACCACATTATAGCGCCGCACTCAAACCGGTCTGCGACAGGAAAAAATCTCCCTCTCATTTGAAGGACGAGCTGAGATCAAAACACCAATTCAAGCCGATATCCCCTTGTCGATAGCCTTTTCAAGTTGAAACGCAACTTTGCTTGTTTGGTGTGTGAAACCTGGAGATGTGACGATAATAATTTGTGTAGTAGACACAGTGAACTATCCCCTCACATCCATCCATCCGTTTCCGCGACCCAATCGCCGTCTTACCCCATAATTCAATCAGGACTTCTTGTTTGGAATGGCTGAATTCGGAACAAACGAGCAGGCATGCGCCTGTAGGTTTTCCAAGCTGTCGTACAAGGACAAAGCCGTTTCTTGACACTTGCCACAATTGTTTTGGGACTCTATGCCGCTGCAGACGCTTCTCTGATTCTTGTCGACGAGGGCCTCCCTGTTACGGTGCGTTGAGTGATGCGGGGTCGTTGGAGCCGTTCAAAGGACGAATGAAGAGGCTAGACAACTGGGGACTTGCTGGGGGAAGGAGTTACAGGTGCATTCTGGGTTCAGGAATGAGCAATGAAGGAATGGTTGCGATGATGGACAGGCGGTTGGTTGGCAGAATTACACTCGGAAGAGTGCAACGATTCCTCCGACGTCCTTTGCAGAACTGCTCATTGAACGGCACCAACCATTCAACCGATGAGACCGACACTGTACATCGCTCTTGAGAAGAAAATTATTTGGATCTTGGCTGGGAGGAAAGCGGCTGCTCGTTTACGGTAGCTGGCATAGAGAAATCGTCCACGGAATGTTTGGACGATCTATACCAATCCCGCTGTAACCAAACCTCTCCCACACACTATCTACCACCGTCACATGTCCTTTTGGTCTTTCAGGCGGACAAGATTGTCAAGCTTGTGGAGGCCGCTGGTATCGAAATGGAGCCCATCTGGGCAAAACTCTTCTCCAAGGCCCTCGAAGGCCGAGACCTCGCTGCCACCTTCACCAACTTCTCGAGCGCACCCGCGGGTGCAGCACCGACAATTGCAGTACCTGTCGCAGCCGCGGAACCTGCTTCTGGTGAGTTTTGATTCGATGGCGGTGACGTTTGCCGGAAGTGGGATTGCAGCCGGTGATCGGAAAGTGAAAAACGGAACATCAGAGAATGGGATTGGAATCGAACTAGAGGCGAATTCTAAGCTCGTGTTGAGTAGACGGACAGGTTTCACCCGGATGAAGCTATCCCAGTTGGAAAGCGGTTAGAGACGTTTGCGTCCGGAAAGCGTCGTCGGCTCTAACCTCCTCTTTACCGGCGAATACCGGCGTCGTGTTTTTCGTGGTCTCAATAATAAATTGCGCCCCACCCCACACCGCTCCCCCGTTCGCCCCCACAGCTGAGGAGAAGAAGGACGACAAGAAGGGTGGCAAGCCCGCAAAGAAGGAGGAGAAGAAGGAGGAGGAAGAAGATGACGACATGGGCTTTGGTGAGTTTTGGAGAAGACTTGGCGACATCTCGCACTTCTTGATCACCATCCCTCTGAAACCCTTTTCAAACAAATCAGGTCTGTTCGATTAAACGCTTAAGCCATCAAGAGGAGGGATCACGAAGGCGGAGGTGGAGAGGGAGCTTGTTCCGTAGTGTGGAGGGGTCATGGTCGGGTCGGGACTCGGTGTGGATCGGACTTGTCACGTGTGGACGCTGTTGGTTAGACAGAAATGGCAATGGCAATTTATGTAGTCCGTGTTGTAGTGCACGATGGCGGCTATGAGTTGAATATTGCATGCACATATCTCAGCTGTCATACCTGCTCGTGTGGTTTGGAGTGGAGTCCTCCTGTAATGCCTTGGCCGATCTCGAGTTCACTTAGGAAATCATGACATCTGCATTCTGCCCCACAATGCGTAATACAGGCGGCACGATTCCTGTGCACCCCATGGAACTCATTGCACAGTGGAATAGTGGATGGCAGACCATGCGAATTGAGGGTTCTGGCCAAAAAATTATAGTCCGAGGGACGCTCGCTATTAATAACATGTTGAACAGGAGCAGCAGCTTCTTGTGGATTGAACAACATGTCAAAATAAAATTTAATAAATATACAGTAAAATGACGTTCACTCCAATGTCCTCCTTTCTTCCGTAGCTCAATAGGTAGAGCGTGACGCTGTTAACGTCAAGGTCGCTGGTTCGATCCCAGCCGGGAGCGCTTTTTGCACGGTGAGGGTTCGAAATTCGAAATTTAGTATTCTCCTCTTTGAAATAGTATAAGCAGTCTGTTATCTGGATAAGTGATAAATGTAACTCCACTGAAGTTGTTGCATGTTGACATGACTTTTCTTGGACCCCAGACTAATTGACCATCATGATTTGTGATCTGTGAGTGTCCTGAGTGGACATGTGAATCTCACATTTTGTGGAATCCTGGATGTCATATGGATAATTGTTTACTAATAAAGGAAGTCTTGCAGAAGAAGACCATTTCAGGCTCCAGTCTCTTGAATTTCAAGGTTACTAATGTGTATCTGATGTGGATCACAACAACACGTGCCTAATTCTTCCTCAATGACCTCCTGAGTCTTCTTCAGGGCTGCCACCTTTAGTAACATTTGAGTAGCTACCGCTAGGATGGTAGTTGGGTAGGGGGATTAGTCACGTGATAAGGGTCGTGTGGCACAGTGCACACAGGGTCATTCAGACACTGAGGGTTTAGTTTCTCTTAGGGTTGATAGAGTCCACTCTGTCACAGGTGGGACAGAGGCTTGTCTGTATTTGCTTTGCTCTTGTTCATTACATTTCCGTCACAGTGTTCTGCTCTACACTCGACTCTGGTAGTGACCCTTAGACGGGTCACAAGGGCCTCGTAGGGTGGTCATCCATTTGCAACTTCAAGATCACCTGATGTGTCGTCTCATGTCTGCTGACATTTTTGAGATTGCCATATGGGAAAGTTGAGTTCCTCAACACAGAAAACATGGTGGACCTTACTATCATTGTCAAAACTGGAACTTCAGGTGATTCCATCAAGTTTCTCCCACAAAAGTGTATTGCCAACATGAAAGCTGCTGGTTTGAATGACACAGAACAGCACCTTCCCCGCTTTAAAAAGTCCCCACGCTTCAGCAAGAATGTTTTTCTTTGCAAGTTTAGTACCACTGTTTGGGTATATCATTTGCCGAAGAGTTGTAATTGGTTGATCATTGTACTTGAGAAGCAGCCGTTCCAATCTCTCAGCTGAATGCTTTGATGGTGGGCCACTCCAAGCTTCTTTGATTTCATTCATGGGTAGAGATTTGCGAAGAGTGTCCATTTCATCTCCAGTTCCATCACGGCATGCGTAAAACCACAAGAGAGTTCCGTCATCCTTTGTAACACAAAATTCCCCCACATATCCAGGGACAGGCGCGTAGAGAGCGGCTTGAATGGCAGCACCTGATCCTGTGTAGTAGCATCAGCCGCCTCATCATCCATGGTGTTGGTCGGTAGTAAAGTTTGAGGTACCGCAAGGAGAAAGGCTATATCTGATCTGCTCTGCTGTTCCGTCTAGATCTCAATGGGCAGCTACAAGAAGAGGATAGGGAACCCAAGAGTAGTTGAATGTATATTTGTTCGAAGGACGAAAGGCACTTGTGCCTGCAGGCAGGCGAAGTGGTTTCGAAGGAAGCTGTGGAGGGTCAGGAGAAGGCCTGAAACCACTGCAGGCACCTTCGAAACCAGTGCAGGCCGAACTATTGGAAAATATTTCACCCTCGAAACAACCCAGAACGCCTGCTGCTGGCGTTTCAAGCTATGTAAAGAGGATGATTTTCTTGCAGATGGAGCTTCATTTATACTCTATATATGCTACAAATACACGTCCCCAGTGTCTGTCAGGCCTCTCCTTCTTCCCTTCCCCATCGATGCTCTTTGCCATTTGGAAGGCTCTTTGCTGTTCTTTGGTCGACCAAAGCCTTACACCATATATATCAGTGCACCGTTTCGATGTTACCCCCCATTGGGGCACCATGGAGTGCAGGGTCCAGAGGGAACCCGTTAGATCCAGATTACCCGCACGGGCTTGACTTGGGCTTGCCCTGACAGACTTCCCTACGTGGATTGTCATTGTCTGTCAGGTGAGCAGGAGGAGACGAACACTGTTCCATTCACAGTTGTCATGTATATCTTCACATTATATTCTCATTGTCTGTCAGTGATATATCCTAGGGTGATATCGAGCTGTTCATTATTCTCTACATACTTACCTTCAGGGTGGATTGAATACAAAATCGCGACAAATGGGCTCCAAAAATGTCGCTCCCGGCTGGGATCGAACCAGCGACCTTGACGTTAACAGCGTCACGCTCTACCTATTGAGCTACGGAAGAAAAGGAGGACATTCTTCGCAAAAAATATTTATTCATATCTAATAATATTACTAAATTCCTAAATATCATATTGTTGACGATGACTTCCATCAGTCCATTAATACTCGCTGCTCCTGTTTAAAATGTAGTGAAGTATGTACTAGTTTCCAAGTCTTCAGCAAGGTAGTTTCCAGCAAATGACCAAGACATCGGCGGAAGGAGTGGAAACAATGGTGAGCGGATGTGCAAGGTAGCAACCTGTCGTTTCATTCACTAACCAGACTTAACAGACTCAATGTGTTTTCGTCGCGTATATGAAAGTAGTGTGGCGGATGAGGGAACACCTGAGCGACTGACAGACTGAGAAACACGTCCTCCACGTATTTCACGCTCTCAACAGCTTTGGTGTCCTATTCCCAGAATATGGAGTCTCGCTCGCGACTTTCATTGGCGAGCATTGTTTACTTCTGGATCAAAACATACATTCTCTCGTGCAACCCTCGGTCATGTTCCACTCATGGCAAACAAATCCAAAGTCTTTCTCTTCTGGCATTGAGTTTACTGTAATCACCAAGATTTCAAGATAAACGAGCCACGCCCTCTCCAATCACGAGTTCCTGGCTTCGAATCGCTGCTATTGCTCACCTTCCGAACTCGTGAGGCTCTGGATGGACGTCCAGAGCCCGTCCCGCCATCGGCGGATCTCGATCTCGGGATCTGGCCATCGTCACGGGCTGATGCTGTTTTGCTTGTGTATGGCGGTCGTTGGGTCGTACTACTGGTGAGGGAAATTGCGAAGGTCCACCTGAATACATCGCAAACGCTCACATTCTTTGTTCATCAGTTTTGACATCCCTGCAGCTACAAACACTTCGCTGCGCGCGTGGTTGGGCGTCTCATATACGGAATGGCAGTATGAGCTTAGTCTTCTTTGTGAGTTTCGCAGGAAACTATTCGATGCCTTTTACTCGGTTTCATAACATGCTCCCCTTACAGACTCCGTCTATTCAATTCCAAATATATTCCTTCCTTTCCTCGGGGGAATCCTTGTCGACAAATTGGGGGCTTCGCGCACCGTACTGATGTTCGCATCGCTCGTTCTATTTGGACAGATATTGTTCGCAGTTGGTGTCTCGGCGAAGCATTTTCTGACGATGCTTGCGGGAAGAACCATTTTTGGAGCCGGTTGTGAAACACTAGATATTACTCAGGTGAGGACAAGATATTTCTTGAGACAATACTGCCAAAAATAATTCGAGCTCAGTCGTTTTGACTCTGCGGTGCCCATGCCATTCCGTGCTCTTTATGGACATTGAATCTCATCGGTGTTTGACTTTGATAGATGACCATCGCAACTGAATGGTTCCAAAATCACCCTTCCCTCGGACTTTCCCTCGTTTTGGCTCTCAACCTATCTTCCGTGCGTGCTTCCACCGCTCTCAACGATGCTTTTTCTCCATTAATTGCTAGCCGGTTCGGAGTCGCGTCCGCACCATGGGTAGGGACATTCGTATGTGTCCTAAGCTCCTCAGCCGTGATCGGGGTGGTCACAATGAACAGCTCGAGAGAGAGTGCAAAGATTGCGAAAAAAAATGCACAGGAAGAGTCGAGAATAGCAACTGCGTCGAGAAACGGGAATGCTGTTGTGCAGGAGGATCCAGCGGTGGTGGACAATCAGCTCTCCCAAGCACACTCCACCCCTCCCCCGCTTTCGTTCGTCTCCTCTGCCACATTATCTACACCCATTTCTAGTGGCACCTCTGCTTTCTCCAATTATGGTTCCACTTTGTCACCTTTAGGTGACGCAGCGTCCGACAACGATGCGGTGTCGGTTATCACTTCAGTGGAAGAAATGATGGACGGATATGAAAATCAGATGGAAGTGATTGCAGCTTGTGGAGGTGTAGGTGGTCTCGGAGCCAAGTTTTGGATCCTGGTGAGTACTCAGTGTTTGAAATTAATGATTATCGGTACAATGACCCTCTCGGCCTGCAGACCTGCATTGTCGTTGCCTCGTACGGTGTTGTCAACCCATTTTTCAACGTATCGACAGATTTCTTCCAGGAGCGATTTTTTCCAGGCAACCCGGAGAAGGCAGGCTTGGGTGGGTTTAAACTACCCTGGAGCTTCTCAACTCGCCATGACATTGACTTCTGTATCGCGTCATCTCAGCTCTTGCTGTTCCGCCGACTGTTACCGCTATTCTGGCCCCCTTTCTTGGAATACTTTCGGACGCATACCCCACCTACCGACCTCTCTTTCTCGCTCTTTCCCAGGGGCTCCTCTTGTCTGCCCACGTTATATTAGGATGGACCATGCTGACTCCGTTCGTTGGTATGGCTGTTCTAGGGTGTGGCTATTCTCTCATGGCGACAGTTTTGTGGCCAATGTTACCAGAAGCCGTTGGAGACGGATTAATTGCCACAGGGTAAGTTCTTGAATTTCGCGAGCGTTTTTTACTGAAGTCCCGAAATCTAGCATCACGTCACTGCCCTATTGCTTGTCACTAAATGAAGCTATGGTCTTGCCGTCGCCTTACTCAACACAACTCTGTCTCTATTCCCTTTGGTTATTGGACACATTCGAGCGTCTGATCCAACCACCTGGAAGGGAGTACAAACGTTCTTTGTGGGTGTGTCCGCGACTGGGGTGCTGCTGTGTATTCTGTTGGGATTGCTCGAGGGAAGCGAGCGGAGTCAGGACTACAACCCTCAATCAGAAGCTGAAAGAAGACCTCTTCTCGAAAATTAGGTGCCTTTATTCTGTAGTAGTGCACGGAGCAGAAAATTGAACAGAGCAATGTAGATAATGATAACCCAGCGACTTTTGTCACGAGCGATTGCTCGAGAATCGGATCGAATAGTAGAGCACCTAGTGCTGTGAAATGCAGGTAAAGAAAAAGAGAAACTCGGAATAGATGAGTGTCAAGACATTTACCTTGCCACGCCTGGCTGGCTGTGGGCTCGTTTGCCTGACGGAGGAGCCGCCACTTCCCATGACTGCTGATTGTTTCCGAAATCCAATGCGGCTTGCACATCCAATTAGTAAACATCCTCCTGTCACACGACTCGTACTCCGCCTTGTTATTCCGATCGTCGCCTTCCTCGCTTCCAGTAAACCCGCACATGGTCAATCACTCCAACAAGCTTCTGATTGTGCTGTTTTCGAGCAACTCTTCGACCAATCAAACTTCACATATCCATGGGCGAAAGGACGATGGTAAGTACCTTCTCTCTTTTCTAACTGACTCTCCCAATGACAATTGTTCTCCGAAAATATCACTCTTCAGTTGTGCAAAGAGTGATACACAAGTTCCTTATTTTAAATGCGATACCAATCTACGAATCACAGAAGCCCATATTTACAGTGTCGGTCTAATGGGGACTTTCCCCTCGTCGCTGAACAATTTGACATCCTTAACCCATCTCGAAGCTTATTCCAACAACTTCACGGGCCCTATCCCAGACATGCGAAATCTCTACCTTACTCTATTGGACCTCTCTATTAACAACTTCGACGGAAATGTTGATGGTAAAATTTCGACGACCTGGTCCCCCCAAACTTGCTATCTCACCTGGAATGGAACAAATCCTGGGCTTTTCACTTGTCGCAACGATTTTCCTCGACTCTGCGTCACCCAGACGTTTGATGGAATCGGGCAAAAGGAGCTTCCGCTTGGGCCCTCGGATGTTTGCGCGATTACAGCCACCACTCCGCTGCAGGGATCGTCTCCCTCCACGGCACCGACTTCCACTTACAACTCAATGTCGGTTGCCGGTTCTACACAGTCACAGACCGCCCCACCACCGCAATCTGGAACTGTGGCAACGAGCAGTTTTGTGCCCCTCATTGCCGGAATCGTCGGTGGGGTGGTGCTAGTAGCTGCAATAGTCACCGCTGTATTCGTTTACCGGAGGAAACGCAAAGGTAGGACTTTCATCATTGCCCAGTACATTTGTGAGCAAAACTCATCCTCTTGACCCCCCAGCTTTCGCCGACACCCACTCGGATGCGCGCGAACTTGTTCCTCCTCAGTATCCCTCCAGCACTTCAAAGAACCTTTCCACAACCGGCTCTTCCTTTTCCGCTCAAACTTTAGTCCCCGGGTCTCCTCCGCACAGTCAGGCCAGCTTAGACACCTCCACCTTGAATCAAAGTTATTCTCACGACCTTAATTTCCAAAGTGGAGGTGCAGCGTCGGTAGGTAACGACTTTTGATTGGTTCTTCGGCAAGCACAATTATCCTCACATGTTTTCGCGAGAGCAGGCCCACTGGTTTTATGTGCGCATTGCAGGTCCATTAAAAATGCAAAATGAACCGAGTGCTCCATATGAAGGAACCCAGCCATTCCTAGTCATCGAGGAGGTACGGACAGCCAGAGTACGATTGATGAGGCGCATCTACCTCAACCTTCCAGGTCTCTCCATCGTAGTACGAACCCACTGCCGCCGATGAAATTCGTCTCACTGCGGGGGACTTCATTACATTGCAGACTCTCTTCCGCGATGGGTAAGTTGCAAATGATACAAAACGGTCCAAGCATATGAAACATACTGTGGTTGTTTTGCAGCTGGGCTATTGGCAGGAATGAAGAAACTGCGGAGTACGGGATGTTTCCCCTGTAAGTTTTCCATGACAGTTTTACTGTAATCTCAACTATATTGACGGTCGGCGTCAGTGACTGCCTGCGACTTGGCAATGCCCCCGCAAATACCACCTCTTTACCGAACCGCTTCGAATCTCGATCACGGGTGGTGACCACGTCTGTGCTTTCGCAGCAGGCAATGAGATCCAACGCACTACCCTTGATGATGGCGCCATCGGGAACTTTTCCATCCGGAATGATGCCCAGCGGAAGTTCCACGATTGTAAGCATTTGTCTGAGTTTCCCCAATCCCATCAGATCCAATTCCATTTCCTTTGAAGCGTTCGCATACACGACCTGTGGGATCCATGCGTGACGTGCGTGGTCCAGCGCAACCGGCTTCGGTTTATGGCGTAGGAATGCATTTCGGAAACG